TGACAAGTACATGATGCGTTTCTGGCTGAAATTGTGCAAAAGTATGTGTTTTTTTTTTTGAACAATAATTGTGTTTTTTTTTGTGCTCCTAATTTTTTGGCTCAGCTGGATATATTCTTGCTCCATTTCTAGAGCAGTGCTTGAGAATTCTGCAAGGCTAAAGTGTCTGTGTCGCGTTTTTACAGTACCCATACTGCCAGCAACGTTTTTCCGGAATTGTTTTTCTTCTTTTTTTCTGTGAAATAGGAGCAAAAGGGATGAAATAAATTTTTACTTGTGAATAAAATTCAACAATGTTATTAAGCAACTGGAATCAGTGCATTTACCGCTCGCACGGTCACTGCGGCAACTACAATGTCATATTGCTAGGCTGGCTTAAACAACTGCAGCATTATTCGAAATAGCCGTGAAAAGCCCTGGCATTCGAAAAAAAACGGAAAAATTCAGGTAAAACGACTGACCAGTGTTCCTAAGAATCAAGCAAAGCAAGCCCATTTCTCAATGCAAGGCAAGTAAAGAACATAGTGAAAGATTTCAAGGGTAATTTTTTTTCCGTTGTCCTGGAATTTATGATGAGCAGTCACGTCGGGCTCTTTTTTTTTCCAGATTACCATTTTTGCCCATTTGTCATTCTTTGTGTCAGATATGAATAGGAACTCACAACGGGAGGAAATGAGCTGGTCCATACAGTGGATTTAGCACTCCAAAAAAATGGTAGTTTAAGAAAAATGGTTGTTTCTGGGTGGTTTGATAGTTTTTGCGTTTTTCTCCGACGAATATCGCATGAAAATGAATCTTGACTACTGAGGTTTCTTGATCAAAATCGTTCAATCCATGGTTTTAAATCAAGTGTGTGTATCATGGTGCATGGTAACAGTGTTTGATTATGCACAGAGCGCAGTGCACTTGGTACCAACAGTGGCATATCATCACCTGTATCACAAAGTACGCTTGAAAGAGTTACCCGTCGTAAAGCAGCGATTTGTAGCGAACTGTATTGTTCTGTGTTTTCAAAATAAAACCTGAAATTAATGCTGAAATCTATTAAATATAAAATGAACAAC